GGCTCTTTCCAGTGGTGTTCAGTGACAGGACAGCAGGCACAAAAATTAAATACAGGAGGCTCTGTCTGAACATCAGGGGACACTTTTTTGCTGTGAGCGTGACTGAGCACTGGCACAGCTTGCCCAGGGAGGTTGTGGAGCTTCCATCCTTGCAGACATGTAGAAGCCCTCTGGACACGATCCTGAGAATCTGGCTGTAGGTGGCCCTGCTTGAGCAGGTGGGTTGGACTAGCTGACTTGCAGAGGTGCTTTCCAACCTAACCCATTCTGGGGTTCTGTGATGTCCACCCACGTTATAGTCAATTGTATAATATAATTTCATCCGAATAAAGAAAAATGTAAGAAAAATATATCTGCCTAAAGAGTACAAATACTGCTCATCTTTCACATAGCCTTTTACTCAACAGTTATGTGTTATTGTTACAAATCTAATTCCATATATATAAAAATAAGGAAAATTTCTTTAATAATATATGCTAACAATCTTCTGGAAACAAAGCTATAAATATGAAAGTGTGTATGGCAAAACAGTGAAAAATCTCTTTAAAGGAAGTATACGAAAGCCATTAAAATAGTAGTAATTATTAGCCTTGGTCCTGAAAACAACAATCAAAGATGAAATAATTAGTAACTAGACCTGTTCATCCGGTGAATCATTTATCTGCACACTGCCAATAAGCCAGTGGCTTCTATATTGTCTCTTCCATACACACAAGTGTCTTTTCTTGCGCAGGCAAGTCATAGCTTTAAAATGAGTTGTAACTGGAAAGGAAGTCTGAACTTCAGATAATGGTGGCAGAAAATCCAGACTGAGGCAGTTCTTCCAAGCTGAACTACAGAATATTTTCTATAATCCTTCAGCAAAGATAAAGAAAAACAGATTTCTCCTCTTTCACAGTGTCTATGAAGAAATTACCAAAGAATGATGGTCCCCCTGTAGCTGTCCTGCTACTCATTTGCATCACTCTTTACTAACATAGGAATCATTAATACTTTTTAGACTATCTAGAACTGGACATGGCTTATAGCTGCAGTGTGCATATTTGTTACTCTTCCCCATATAATTCAAAACACCACTTATAGGTCAGAAATATTTGATTTGTGTGACATAATCTGTCATCCTTCTGATAAAACAATTTCCTCTTCCCAGTGCGTTACCAGTCTTGGTAGTCAGAAGACTCAAAGTTTTAGCTTAGTTGGTATTAGACCTGCTTTAGCTAGGTCAGTCCAGTGCCGGTAGCACAAAATCACAAGTGCTGGCATTACAACATCATCATCATCTTCACAAAGTATAAGGAGGTAGTAAAAAGCAATTCACTCATTCCAGTGTCTTTCACAACTACATCCAGAAAGGTGTCACCTTTGGTACAGAGCCCGGCACAGTAAGAACAAGATTTGAAGTCCATGGATAACTTTATTTACTGTATAATTAATGTAAGTCCATTTCTCAGAAATTGCTTAAGAATGGCTCTGGGTAATGTACCAACAGTTTGCCACCAATTATTAACAAATACTGTCTTCAAGTTTCTTAAAAAAAAAAACAAAACCCAAAAAAACCCACAAAAAACCCACACTTAAGTAGTTTTACTTTTTATCTGGCTGCTTAAAGCCTTGCCAGCTTTTCAGTATTCCCTTTACTGTAGTCTTTTTACACTTATTCAGCTTTGTAGTGCTCCATCAGCTTTATAAAAATATTTTATTCCTAAGATGCTTTTCATCCTGTCTACTCTGTGAAGAGTAAAGCAAATAAACTGAAGAACTAACCCGTTTTTCCTTATTCCTACTTCCCAATTCCACAGTATCATTTTTGGTTTGACAGTTTTCCCCAGTATCTTTCTTTGTCAGTTATGCATGCAATGAGAAACCTGATAGCTGTAATATTCCCCAAGAGTCAGCATTCACCATTGCTTTTGCCTTTCTGATTAGCATACATCTAATTTCTGGTTACTTTTTTTATTTCTAATAAATACTAACCTTCTCAACTGGTATTTTTCAAAGCTTTTCATTAACAGTATTGCCTGTCATAGTATTTGTGGAAGTCTATCATGCTTTCTTGCCAGTTCTAGTCTTTCCAGTGAGTACTCCTTAGGTTTTTCTGGTTTTGCTAAGGTCATTTCTGATACAGTATTGGTAAGACTCAAAATAATAAAAAAAGGCCTAAGCTGGACATTCTGTATTTCTTTTACAGTGAGTCTCTACTTTCAGAAAGGTGTATCAGAACTGGCCCTAGAACGTTTTGTTGAGGTTTACAGAACCAATACTTATCTTGTGCTCTGAGTTCCTCCTGTGACAACTGCTTCCAACCTTAGCTGGCTCAGTTTCTGAATTTAGACAAAAAATTACTGACAAAGTGTGAACCCTTCAAGAAAAGAGCAAGAGGAGAGACCCTGTCTTATCTCTTAAGAGTTCCTCAGTGAACCCTTTTTCCCATGCTGCCTATCACAATTGTGATAGGCATTATGATCAAAGTTTGTATTAGGAATATCATTTAATGAGAGATCAACATGGGACATTTGTCATTTGTGCCAAGTCTGATTGATTGATTGATTGATTGATTTCCATGCTGAGAGCTGTGTAGAATGCCATCTTTGGCTTTGTATATGGCTCATGTCTGGACAAGGACACAGTGTTCTCCTACCACAAAGGGTGCAAGAGGTCTATATCTGGGCTCCGTTAAACATCTCTCTGATCCTTAAGCATGACCTCTGTCTGTAAGTTGTATTTAGCCTTATTGTTATTTCCCTACAAATGGATGCCATCAAATGTCATGCACAATAGCTTGACAATAAACGGTATTAATACTGTCACCTGTATGGAATTTTGTTCCCTGGGATTTAAGGATGTGCCATCAGCTGAAAGGGTCGCAGAGGATGTTGCAGCATTTCACAAGGGTGAATGTGGAGCCAGTCACCTTTGTTTTCCTCCAAGTGTCCTGCCCCTAAGAATCATATTAGCTATTGTGGAATGGTTCTGTCCTCTCTTTCCTGGGCTGACAGATTCATAACTGTGACAAATCTAACATAGTCATCAGGAGTTTAGTTTTATGACTATATCCACCTAGGCTGCAGTGTTTCCACAGCATCAGTCTGTCTCAAGCTAATGAAGCGCTTTATGGCCACTTATAAATCAGCTTTCACTATTCAACTTACTGTGCTATTTCTAATTAATTTGGAAGACTAAACCCGCAACTGAAGCTCACTGTTTTTCATTGTTTCTCCCACTATTATTTCCTCTTCTGAAGTCACAAGTGTAGATAATCGGATATATGTACTATCTCCTATTGGAAAAATCTATTAAGTGAACAAGAAAATTCTGAAATTCTCTTGCAGTAGTCCAGAAGTATGACAGAGCAATTTAATACACAATATTATAGTGTTATGGTAAGCTATATGTGGAGCAACAGATGTATATGGGAAGAGAAGAAGTAGTATATTATCACTATAATGTGAGAGGGGAAAAAAATTAGTCAGCTCTTGCACAAATAACTTTCACTGGTCTAATGAATAGCTTCATATAATTTAAAATAATCCTTCTGTATAATGAACTTGCGAGCTAATTACTCTTGGATTGCCACAGCACAGTGTAACTCTGTCAGTCTGGGAGCATTTTGAAGTTTGCCAAAGTTGTGAAGGGGGTACAGTTGAAACTAGAATTGAATGGGTTTCCCAGTCAATACATCTACACATTGTTGTGGGGTATTGTTCCAGGCAGTAACTGTGATCATTGCTAGATTTATCCTTTTATAAAACAATAGAGTTAAAAGTGGCAGATGGTAGTTAATGATTAACATTCCTAGTAAACAAACTTTTGCAGGGATATATTTAAAGTGGTTTTGTGTATATAAATAGACAAGGATCATGAGCTATGGAACTATAATTGAATTACATTAGCATAACTTAAGCAGAAGCTTAGTAAATACCAAACACCTTAATTGACTTGCACAGTATGAGGAGGTTAATGACATGCCCCTATAAATGACTCTTCAAAGTGTTTGGCAACACGGCAGTTTAGAGCCAAACTAGTACCCAGTACCCCACCCTTTGTGGCTGGTGTATGGTAACTTATTTAACTCCTACCCCTCAAGCTTGGCCTCTGCTAGGATTTCTCGAGGTTGAAGCAGCAGCCTTCCTTGCAGAGAGCTGGGAGCCTCCCTGGGAAGTGGGTCAGTGCCTTTGCTGTGCCCTCCAGTTGCTCCTGTCTGCCTCCCAGCCTGAAGAGCCCTTTGGTCGCTGGGCTCGTAGCACCTGCTGGAGTGGGTTGGCTCAGGCTCCACAAACTTATACCTTTAAATGCAGAAGCTCTGCTCCCTCTGCCAAAAATTTGCCCAGCATCATTGTATAACTCTCATGCTCACAGAACATACCAGCTCTTTTTGTGTGGGCAATAATTGTCTGGTTTTTGCAGACTTTGCAGTCTTTTTCCTCCTTTTTATTTAGATTTTTTGCTGATGCTGTTTGTGGAAAATGTGCTGATTACATATTCTAGTGGGTTCAAGAAGTGTAACTGAATTTGGTTGTTGGAACTGTTCAGTCTGTGCATCTGAGTCCAACCTGAGCTGTGCATCTTTTTAGCTAAGGCATGTGTTATTCATCCATGCTCATTCTGAAATCTTAATAGTGGAGTTAGAAGCCTGATTGAAAACCAGCAGTGGTTTGTTGGTTTATCATGCCAAGTAAACTAGATATATAATGCAATTACCAGTCTAGTTAATTATTTTTAAAATACTAGTGAGTCAGGAAACTATATGGAAATTGATAAGAAATTAATTCCTGTTACATTTGAATAATTTGTAAAAAGCAGATTAGATCCACAGGTGGCTGAATTTTGTATTCTTCTCTCACATAAGAAACTGTGCTGTAAATGAGCTAGCTTCTCTCTTGGGAAAGAAATGTGAGTTTTGCTGACAAGCTGAGGTCTCTAAGCAGAAAAAAATGCATGCTGACAGTTTGACCCAGTGGCCAATTTACTGATTTCTTTCCCCCTTTTTATTTCTCTTTTAGATGCTGAAGAATACCAGCCTCCAATATGGAAATCATACTGTGAGTATATGAGAAATTTGAATAATCTTAATACCTTACCAAGGTGTCACTGTTAGGTCTTTTCTCTTTCTTTGTTTAGAAAAAAGACATGAATGTACTAGGTGCTTGTAGGAATTACTCTATGGGACAGGAGCAGCAAAACCTGAACTTTCCTTGTTCTTTGTGGAGCAAATGCAGCAGGGATATGAGTGCAGACTCTCTGGGTTGCTCTGCAAGTATACAAATCCTGGGTTTCATGGCTTCTCTGCTGAGATTTTCAGGAAGGATTCCAGAGGTAGAGGTTAATGCTTCATGTGTTTACTAAAGGTCAGGCTTGAGTATACTTGTCTTTTTATATGGGTCACCAAATCACTTTAAGATAATAATATTTTTGATCCTTAGCAATAGAAGCTGATTTTTGAAGTGGTGGTTTAGAAGTTGGAGACAACATTATCAGTTCTTTGAACCTTCCTGTCTGCCTTTAGAAAAATAAAAAAAATCATTTACATAGAGTGCAGGGCAGAAGTGCATATTTTATGCTATTTTTGCTTTGTTCCAAATGTATTTTCTAATAAAGTAGAAGAGATCTGAGACAAATTATTGGCCTTTAAAGCCCTTGTTGAAGATGGTATATACAATTGATCTTTTAATTTAAAACCTTACCGGAACTTTAGTGAAACTTTAGTTTTGGGTGTGGAATGGGATTTCTTTGCTGTTTTCAGATACTGAACTTCCTAAGCAAAAGTGTTTTTTTTTTTATTGTGGCAACTCAAATTCAGTACAGTGTCATTAGCAAAATGGAACTACAAAAAGACAAGGATCACAGTAGTTACATGCATGTACATGTATAATTTTATAGGCTGGAATAAACTTGTTCACTTCACTTAGATGCACATTAAACTACCTTGCTGACTTCAAAGACATCACCTCTGTGTTACCTGGGAATGACATTCTGCCTTAGAACAGACTGGGATTTTTTCAAGCCAAATTTGCATATGCCATTAATTTAGAAAAATTACTCCTCAGAATTGCTTTTTAGAGATGTATTTTTCTGTTGCAGGATTTTGAATGTATAAGCCAAATACTCCTTAAAAGTCAGCAAGAGTGTAGTGATTTGAGCTGGACCATTCAAGTGTACTTTGCTGGGTACTTGGAAAGAAGCAGACACTTGAGCAGAGTTTTTTAGAAGAGGAACCTGGCTTACTCAAATCAATGGAAAAGCTTCCATTGGCTGATGAGACCAGGATTTGAAATGACAGATGTTTCCTTTTTTGCAGGAAGTTTTCATTAAAAAGTCGGGGAATAAGCACATGCCTTTACTTTCCTTCTCTTAAGTTGACCAGTGGTGCAGCAGACAGGTCACTGCATGCAGTGAAAAAGTTTGGTTACTTTTGCCTGGATACAGTATGCATAGTCCAAGGAAACTTTTTTTTTTTTTAAAAAACAGAATGAACTAGTAGAATGTGAATATATAATTTCCTATTCATATATATGTAGGATGCCAATATTGTGGGAGTGACAAAATCATGGGCTCAATGCATAAATGATCTAGGGAAAAATTACACAACTCCAAAATGCAGAAAATAGTTTAAGATTACAGATTTACTGCTGAGCCTGCTTAGCCACAAACATAAGTTTTTCATAGCAATGCAAGCTAATGTATGCTTCTTTGCTAGAAAAATCCCTCTCTGATAAATTAATTATAGAGGTTACGTCCAACAGTAGTCTATGATGCAATCTACTGTCCTGTCTCATCACAATTTAAAACAGTATATGTATTTCACTTTTAGCAGTTTGTGTTTACTGCTTATCTAACAGTTGTTTTCAGTGTACTTTAAACTTTTAAAGTTTGCTAACATGCTATTAAGGTACTTTGCATACAGTTTTGATTACTTTTTAAAGTCCTGGATAAATTTCAGTGCACTATGTAGCCTTTTTTTTGGGATCACGATCAAGGCTTCAATCCTTCTAGCTTCTCAACAAAGGCAGATTTTCCTGCTTATGCAGGCAAAGTATTCAAATAAACAGTATTTCACATATCTATAGGCAAATGCTGATCAAAGTGAAACAGCTTTCAGAAACCAAGCCTTACTCCTTGGTGTAATGTACAAACTTGTTTCAGCTGCATCTGGAAAAGATGAACCCTTCTGATGCAGAAGTTCCTCACTTTTTATGAAGAATTGTTAGAAGCTACATGGGTTTCACAGATGATCATCTTTTTTGGATTTCTTCAGTTAGCCCTGGGACACAGAGAACAAAGGAAATGGCAAGAAAGATTTTGTATTACTGGAAGGGAATGAGGAAAAAAAACCAGAAAGTTACTAGCAGACAGCAGTCTCTAGGTAGTGAATTTGATTGCATTTCTACCCGAGTAACAGTTCAACAAACCAATATCCAATAACAGATCTCTTTTTGAGTCAGCTGATTGTTAGGAGTATTATATGAAATGGTATTTTGCCTTTTTACCATCACTGAGGTAGGAAAGAAAGGAAGCTAAGAATCACAGGCATGTAGGTTGGCAGGGACTGCTGGGGTAAGCTGATTCGATTTCCCACTCAAAGCATGACTACTGTCAGCTCTAGAGCAGAGCAGACATGTTTGTGTTTAGCCAAGTCCTGAAGATTTTCAGGGATGGAGCCTCTCCCACCTTTGTGGATAACCTGCTATAGTGCTGAACTGCCCCCTTAGAGCAGAACCAATGATCTTACCAGCTTCATATGATAAGTAGGCAACTTGTTTGCTAAAACTGTCATCATTTTTAACTTGCAGCTACCACACATCCTATCCGCAGTTGAGTTTTGAAGAGTTGTAAAACAACTCTTTTTCTCCTTTGACCACTGTTGAGATTGGCATGTGCTAAGCAAGTATAATGTCAAAGCCACTGCAATGCTTGTTTGCATTAAGATCTGTACGCTGAAGTGAAGCCATGTGGGAAGACTCAAAGCATCAGCTGATGTCGTGCTTTAGCTCCTCACAAATTTTCCCTCCCTTCTGCTCTTTATCAAATAATAAGCACAGTGTCTGAGACTCAGTTCTCTTAGAAATTAAGGCTTTATTTCAGCCAGGCACTTAGGTTCCTAATTAAGCAGCAGAAATAGGACAGCTCATTTTGTTCAAGCTCAGCACGTGGATAAGTGCCTGACTGAGATGAGGCCGGGATGGTAGAACTAAGAACTGTGAACCACTCTCAGATAGAAGGCAGGATGTCTCTTTGCTGCTTTGTGAAAGTGATGATGGGAACGTTTCCGCTGGAGCATCACTGAATTCTAGTCATAGATGAGTTAAAGGAGACAGCCTGAGTTCCTGACACACTGCAGAATGGAAAAAACAGAAAGAAATTGGTGATAGTCCTTCTTCCCTGGCAGAAAAGGAGTAAGTGTTGATTTTTGCATGAGAGAGTCCGTTTGTTTCTTAGATCAGATTTTGGAATTAGTTCTTTCTAAAACATACTGTAGAATTTGCCTTATTCATCCCATGAGACAAGCCTCTTCCTCTAGCAGGAACAAAAAAAGATACATATATATATATTCTAGGTAGTTACTTTACATCCTAAAGAATGTTCCCCTAGAAGTTAAATAATAAATTAAAGTTCAGTTAACTTAACAAGTTCCCGGGTGATTGTGATGCTATGAATGCTGGCAAACTGCCTGAATTATGAAACTGATGAAGATGTTCAAGGGCCAGTTAAAAGCTACTGTATTTTGCTATTGCAGTGCTGCATTTTGATCTAATATTTAGTGTGTATTATTAGTGTGCATTTCATTTGCATCTGATACTGAACAAAAAGCTTCCAGCTGGATGGTCCTTTCTATATAGTAATAATAGATTTTCTCTTTTCATGCAGTTGACCTTTTATAAGGTTAATTTTCTCAGGGCTCAAATAATAATGCATCATTATGTTCAAGTGTCATCTTTTTTATGGTCACAGTGGGTTTTTCTCTAACCTGCCTGTCGGTTTTAACTGGTGGAATAGACTAGGTCAGATGATGGTAAGTGCCTACCACTCTACTTAATAAGTGTGATTTTCTGCTATTTCAGTTACCCTTATACATTGGATAAATATCCTTATACATTTTATTCTTCTTTTAAGATTTTCAGGGGGGATGAAGGGAGACTAGGGGGCAGGGAATGAGGCAGAAAGGCAAGACTTGTTTGTCATTCAAGCAAATAAGAGAGAGGCGTGTGTTTTCGAAACTTTTGACCATTCCCTGGACCCAGCTGGGGTCTCAGCAATGTCAGTGAGAGTGTGAGTGCCCAGCACTTTTGAAAAAGTATATAATGAAATCGTGCAGAACTGCAGGATGTTCAGCACTCCTGAAAATGAGGTCACTTAATGAGGTGTCTGCGCTCAGTGGAACTTGGCTGTAGGGTACATTTTTCTCAAGTCACTTTATCCATAATATTGCACTTGTACTTGTAGCCCATTATCAGGCTTTCATAATGCAATCATTTGAAGCAGAAACAGGGGAGAACCTTTCTAGAGAAGAACACAGCTTTGGGTAGGGTCACACTTGCTTTGCTCCTTAGTACCTTGCTCTGTGGTGTACTGCCTTTTCCTAGTTTTTCACAACTGCATTTTCACTGTTGTTTTACTTCCTCCACCCTTGCCTTGCTCTGGGTCTTTTCTGGGTATCCATGGCAGCTATGTGCTTATCTGTCTCTTCTCTGTTGTTTGTGTCCTGTTGAATTGATGTGCCTTACCACAATGTCACTGGTGGCTCTCAGTCCTTTCTTTCTGTTCCAAATCTGTCTTCTCTCCCTTCATCTAATGATTCTCCATCTCTCTCCCGTAGTTCCACTGGTTTGTCTTTCTGTCAGTTTAACATCTTTCAATTTAAAGCTAATGTGGCCAAATCTTACTTCTTTATCTTTCCCTGGAAACCATTTCCTATTCATGATGTTTTCTGTGGTTACCACCATTCATGATCTCAGTCATACTTGTTACTTGGGGCCATTTTCTCATCCTGCACATTTAAAGCAGCATGTAATTTATTATTATTTATTTGTATAGTAATAACCTTATTACATTTTCCTCTGATGATTTCTAAATCAGATATTTTTCTCAGTTCAGATTATTGTGCAGATTAATTACCTGTGCCTCTCTGAGAATGACAGCAGCCTTTTCTAGTCTATTCCAAATACACTTGTTAAGATGATTTATCTTCCTTACATTCATCATGAATCCCCGTACTGATTCCTTCCACTGCATCCTATCAGTATCTAGTTTTTTGTCTTTGCTTTCAAGTCTTTCGTATATCTGCCCTCTCCTGTTGATCTTTCCTTCGTTTTGGGAAATGCTGACTCTTCTCCCCACCCTTGCTTCTCCAGGGCCATCAGCCCCTGAGTTCCTTTAGGTCATTTCAGAGAGCGCTTTGCTTTTCTCACTTCTTATAAATGCAGCACATCACAAGATAGACTCTCCTTCAGACCGGCTTGTTTTGCACCACAGCTGTCAAGACTATCTTAGAAACAACTCCATGAGCTTAATTTGCTACATCAGCTAATATTGAACAGATTTTATTATTGAAGTATGATATTTAAATTAAAATTGAAATTAATAAATTAGGGAAATAGGTCTTTTATTTTAAATATGAAGCAATCATATTCTTGCAGTAGTTTGAATCCTTAGAGTTCCTTCTCTGATGGAAATCTATTTTAAAAATGGTTCCTATTTCTCTCTTGAATATGTTTAGTATTAAGCATCAGTAACTTGCTGAATCAGTTGTGCTGATTTCAGACATTCAGAAATGGACTCTAAAACCATATTTGGCTCCAGAATATTCAGAGTTTTAAAAAGCTATCTGTGATTTTTGAAGTAAAATTTTCATGCTCTGCTTGGCGGCTCTTTTCAATACAGAAGCTGTTTGATCACAAGAGTAAAAGGAAGGCTTTGAATCTTAGTCACACAATTGCAAGATGTAAGAAAGACCACAAGTTTTCATGAATCTTGTGGAAAAGTACTTTGAGATATGGCAACACTGAATGATGCAGGTTAAATCCAATACCTTAGCACAAAGTCAGAGCTGGATCACACCCATATGCATTAAAACTGATAGGGAATATAAGAAATAATGAACTCTTTTTCTGTGCCTCTCCAAGCAACTAGAGATGAAGGTTAGGTAGGGAAAAGGAGAGGTTATGGTTTTTCCACTTTGACATTAGCAGAGAAGAGAAGCCCCAAAGCTTTCACACCCAAGTGACAAACTTGGGTGCAAGCTGAGGACTTTCCTGTTTCTCAGATTTCATTACTTCTATCCCCATTTAAAGAGAAGGGACAGAAGGTGGGAGAAGGTGCTGAAGAGTAGCAACTACCATTATCAATTCACTTTCTGCAACAGGGCTTCTGTGTTTATCAAACCTTCAGACATTTATATTTCTCCCATAATCTACCACCTTCCAGGGCATAATTCTGAGTTTCACAGGCTTTATGAAGAGCCCTGTACTAAAAACACGGTCATTTAAAAAAATTCATAGACACGACATGATCTTTCCGAATACAAGAAGGTCAGCATGCAGAAGGCCTTCCTCAAGGGAGGCAATCCAAACCTCTGGGATTTTTACTGGAGTTACAGAGAGACAGTCTGTCTGCGCTGGAATTGATTACTGTCATTGCATGTCAGCTTCTTCTCACGACTCTGAAGTGGAAAGGAAGGAGAGGATCTTATTAAACACATGCAGTGAAGAGGCTGTGGAGCCAGAGCTCAGTGACTACCCCTAGCCTCAGGTCTCTCCTCCAGCCCTCAGAAGATTCACTAAATTGATCCAGGGCTATTTGAATAGGGCATAATTGCTCTGAGAGGAATGTTTGCTTGCTCATCAGTAATTGCCAGCAAATCCTGAAATATATTACAAGATTGTTGTGAACCCTTTCAAATGTGCTGAACCTTTTTATTGTCATATCCAAAAAACTGCTAGTATTGCTGGTAAGCAGTCTTTTCTTGTGCTGTTACAAGCACAAGGTAGAAGCAGAAGTGAGATTTTATCCTGAGATACACCTAATTAATCTTTGTAGCTCATGTTCCCTGGTATAGAACTGTCATGGCAAGTACTAAAGGAGATAATACTTCTACAAGTCAAACCAAGGATCACTTTAGTTAGTTTGCAGGACAACAACCAATTTTCATATGAATATCGTAGATACGTTGTAATACCTCTGTTCACTGTCCTGTTCTTCACATTTGCATTTTCCTCTGCAGCCTCTGGCTAAAAAGACTCATCTAAATAAAAGTTCGTGTATGTTGCCATCTTCTAATGATCTGTACCTTTTTGTGTTTGACAGTGTATCAGTTGCAACAAGAGGCACCACGTCCCAAGAGAATCATCTGTCCTCGGGAGGTCAGTTCTTCTTTTGCTCTACGTTGTTAAATCTGATGAATTGTCAGCAGCATATGATTACCAAAAGTTTTTTTGTACAATCTGTGGGTAGTATTTGCTTTCATTTTTCTAAGCCTTTATTTTATATAATTATTTTTCTTAATGTTGATTAATTAAAGCAGATTAATATTTGCTAATTAAGCATGGAGGCCTCATTCTACCACTAGAAGTACCTTCATTAGGCAAATGCTCATTAATCATTGCTTAGTATGCTTTTCTGCATACTACCTAAACTTTTGTGTTTCCTTGTCACAGTGGTGTATTTTCTTTCTGCATCTGCATATGAACGTCTGTGTCATATGTTTCAGCATGATACATGTAACTCCAGTTTGTTAAATGCTTTTCTGCCAAGAATGATGTTCAAGTTAAAATACTGAAGTGATAGCCAGACAACTCAGTTCCATCACAGAAACTTTAAAGGTTATAGGATGTTTAGAAATCCATAGGGCTGCAGGTTTGGCTGAGTCATAGAATCATAGAATCTTAGAATGTTTGGGTTGGAAGGGTCATCTAGTCCAAAGGTCATCTAGTCCAAACCCCTGCTATAAGCAGGGACATCTCCAACTAGGTCAGGCTGCTCAGAGCTTCGTCAAGCCTGACCTTAAATGTCTGCAGGGATGGGGCCTCCACCAACTCTCTGGGCAACTTATTCCAATGATCTATCACAGTCATATTGAAGAACTTTCTCCTAATGTCTAACCTAAATCTACGCTTTTCTAGCTTAAACCCATTACCCCTGATCCTGTCACTACAAATCCTTGTGAACAGTCCCTCCCCTGCTTCCTTGTAGGCCCCTTTCAGATACTGGAAGGTCACTATAAGGTCCCTCCAGAGCCTCCTCTTCTCCAGGCTGAACAACCCCAACTCCCTCAGCCTGTCCTCATAGGAGAGGTGCTCCAGCCCTTTAATCATTTTTGTGGCTCTCCTCTGGACACGCTCCAGTCTTGTGTCCCATTTTCTTTTTCTGTATTTCTCCATTTCTACATAGTTAAATGTGTCAGTTTCTCAACCTACATGGCATAACAGTAATGGAAAACATATGTAGATGTCTCTGCTTAATCAATAAAACTGTGATAGCTTTATCTTCTGTAATGTCAGAGACAAATTTTGTGCAAATAGTAATAATAGTAATAGAAACACTAAACACATGAAATGATTACACGAGGTATGAAAGATGATGTGAAAGAAGATAGAAACTGTGCTTCATCAGCATGATACACAGCTCTACTGTCAAACATCATCCTGAGCTCTGACCTGCTTCCCACACTGTGTACCCATTGAAGTAGAGCCCTAGCACAGCATCTGTCAAATATTAGCTGATGCAGTGTCAAAACTGTTTTGCCTGGGGCAGGAGGTTTTGTACCAAGGCATAGGGAGTTGCCCAGGGTCATGAAGAAGATCCATTGCGAAGCCAGGAATTTAATCCAGTTTTCCTGAGTCCACCCCGTGGCCAACGGCCATTGCATTTTTCTCTGAAGTGCCATCTAATAGCTGTCTCAGGGCAGGGACAGCAGGGTCTTGGCCTCAGACTGGAACTCTTCAAGCTCTGTCAGTTGAGGATGGTCCCAAGACATGTATACAGGAAGCTGAGAAGGACAAGCAAAACACCAGAGCGGGTGAGCCCTCCTATCATCCTTTATCCCTGTCAAAGACAAGGCTCAGGGAGAGGGAGCACACTGTAGCCCTGTGGGACTTCAGTGCATGTGTGCTGAAGGGTTTTAACAAGACTTTCCTCTCTGAAATTCTTGTGCAAAGCACATGATAGGCACCTATCTGTGGCTGATATTCTCTAAAGGAGAGTACATTAAAATTTTTACTGAATGACTATCATATAACAGGTATTAAACTAGTAGTTTTATGGTTTAAAATAATGAAGGTAAACAGGTAATTTGCTTCCAGTGTGGCTTTAAGGGAGTTTCTGACTTTGTGTGAGATAATGGTTATTTTATTTATCTATTTCATATTGGAACTACTTTGAGGAAGACCTTGTTTTAAGAAAATCTGAATAATAAGCGTTGAATTCGTAGGAACCCCTGTCTACAATTTTAATTCATCTTTGTGGGGATACAAGTGACTTAGTTTGAATAAGTCTAATCCAAAATTTATTATGCTGGCTCAGATCAAAGCATTTCTGAGCTTCCCTCCATGAGTGAAAATTTGAATCAAGGTAAAATGTTTTTAAAGTTAATACAATTAGGAATTGTATTCTTGTTCTAGAAACAAGATTATCTGTACAAGTAAATGGAGTAAGTGTGCAGCTGTGAACTCTTTACCAATGTGCTGCATGGAAATTATTTCCTTAGACTCAAGAACATGGTATGTACAACTGAAGTTATGCTCTCCTCCCTTTGCCTGATGTTTAAAGATCATACATACTTAGTGCCTGTTCAGGTCACTTCCAAAGATTTGAAGAAAGAAGCTAAGCTCTTTCACACTAGATCTTAGGAAGAAGTTCTTCAGCACAAGGATGACGAGGCTCTGGACTAGATTGCCCAGAGAGGCTGTGGATGTCCCCTCCCTGGAGGTGTTTAAGGCAGGCTGGATGAGGCCTTGAGCAACCTAGTCTGGTTGAGAGGTGTCCCTGACCATGGCAGGGAGGTTGGATTAGCTGATCTTCAGAGTTCCTTCCAGCCTAAATCATTCTATGATTCTATGGTGTCATATTAACAAATCAGTAACTGGCAAAGCAGTACCTAGCAAGACAAGTAAAAAATGTCTGATTCACATAATCTAGGTTTGATTCTGATTAATGAACCATTTTCAGCATCTCACTTCATGGACTGAAGAGTCATATTTTGATTTGTTTTGATTTAAAAAATAAAATCAGTTCAATAGCTGAAAATAAGATACTTTATTCAGGGTTAGGTATATAAAGCTGTATGAATTCCCACAAATGTGATCTTCTTATTCAATTGAATTCTTATTACGTGGATTTTGAATCTTTGTATAGCTCAGCTGTGTGTGTTCACAACCCAATTGCTAGAAGCACAGAGATACTTTGACCCAAAAGCCAAAAAAAACACTGCAACAGTGATGATGTGCTTTATTTTCACATATAAATGGGGATGTGGAGGTGAGTGGGATGTCCTGATACCAAGGTTGCTCCTTGTGATTCATATTACTGAGTTTAGATAAAGTAGAATGACATACTCTTTTCATAGAGCATCACAGATTAATTTAGAGAGAAAATTCAGCACTATGGTCCTGTGGCACCTATTAGCTTTTCCTTAGCACACAGGCTGTAAGGTGAGGGTTTTGGGGTTGTCTTGATTCTAGTTTGGCTGCAGTGTAATCTGATGATTGTGTTGGCTTGCCTCATTAAAGATGGCATCTTATTAATCCTAAATTTCTGTCAGTTGCATAGAAAGACCTCAAAAGCTAATTTTGTGTTAGGTATGTGAAAATATATTAATTAGCTGTACAATAGTTGTTTAGTATGCAACGTGTTGCTCATCCAAGATCTGGAGAGCAAGTGTCAGCAGGATGTGTGACTGATGGGGGAAAGATTTATCTCTCTGTGTGCATATCATAGGAACTGGACTCTTGAGAGTGTTCTCTTGTATAATTTCTGATTCAAACTGATTCAGACAAATGCAAAAATTGCAAATAATTTTGAATCCTTCATGCTTATGGAAAGATGTCTTTCATTCATAATTGCCAGATTCTGCACTGTTCACAAGGAAATGGAAGCATCTGCTGCAAACAAACCTGTAACACCAACAGATAAACTTGTGAAGGGTTGGAGGGGTTTATTTAGCTCTCACCACTTGGCGTTTTCATTATTCTTCCATCTTTCCATTGCCATCTTTCACATTCTCCACATTCATTTGCTCTTCCATTATCTCCTTGTTACTCCATAGTCACAGGGGGTTTAGCCTCAGATCTTGGCATTTTTGTGTCTGATTTGTGTGGATTTCATTATTAACTCTCATTTGAGAAAGGTATCACCTCTCCTGATATGCAAACCATCAGACTAGAAGCTGGGACTGTAAATAAAACATGAACCTTTATATTTTTGTGTCTTTGCACTTTGCTATCATTGTTTTTTTTTTTTTTTCTTTTTTCCATACATAAATATCTTGTCAACAACAGCAGGTTGTTCCTGCAATGGGATTCATATTGAATGAACTGTTAGGGCTTCAGGTATCTTAACAGCTTTTAATTAATCACCACTGGCAGCAGGGCTAGTGTGAATATCCTACCTTCCCAGTAACATTGGATTTCTGCCAGTATCCTCATTTGTAACCATATTCCTTCCAGCAATGTTTTAATGATTTATTTTTTAAATAGAAAATGGTTCGTTTAAAAGCACCATTCAGGTGGAGGAGTAGCTTTTAAATATCGTGCAAATGTGTTGATGGGCACCAAAGTATCGGATTTGTATTGTGAGGAAGTCATATTATAAAGCATCTTCTAGACTTTATTCTACAGCAATACTGATAAAAAATTACATTCTTAGGAAATAATTCAAGCATTCAACTTCCTGGTTTTATCTGAAAGTAACATTTTGAAGAATTCTTAGTTTTAAGAAATATTTCAGGATTAGACTATTCAAAGTTAAAATATCTTTTAAAGAAATGCAGGCTTTAACAAAGTAAAATAATTAAAGAGGGATGGTGACATTGTTTGGGAGTATCTTTGGTTAAGCAATAGGTTTGTTAAAAATTTCCTTCAAAGAGGGAGTGAGTCTTACCCATGTGGGTTCGGATTACTTGTGTAGAGATATTCATACCTGTGAATACTATTCCTTTTCTGTTCCAAGAAAGCCATAATTGCTGACAGCAATTTTTGAGGCTGGTGATTTCGTCTGCATTAGACCTGGCATATTGCTAACAGTGCCTTGGTCAAGACAGTGTCAGCAACAGTGAGAAACCCGTCTAAATTTCCCTAGAGTAGACAAAGCCTTAGAGCCCTAACTTATATTATTATGTAGAAAAATGTCAGTTAATTGCCTGCCTTGT